AGCGCTTTGTGGGGGGGGGGCCTCCATCCACAGGGAGGGGGAGGAATAGGAGGAGGAGGAGGAGGAGGAGGAGGAGGAGGAGGAGGAGGAGGAGGAGGAGGAGGAGGAGGAGGAGGAGGAGGAGGAGGAGGAGGAGGAGGAGGAGGAGGCCAGGAGGAGAGGAGGAGGACCAGGAGGAGGAGGAGGAGGAGGAGGAGGAGGAGGAGGAGGAGGAGGAGGAGGAGGAGGAGGAGGAGGAGGAGGAGGAGGAGGAGGAGGAGGAGGGGGGGTCTCCATCTACAGGGATCGAAGAGGAACAAAAACGCCATAAACATAAGCTTTTAGCGCTCCGCGCGGATTTCTCAGATCCGCGTTGGGACCCCCTTGGCGGCGCCTCCAGCGCCGCCGCGGGCGCGCGGTGGGAGGCGGGTCCAGCGCAGATCCAAGAAATCCGCGCGGAGCGCGAAACGTTGATGTTTATGGCGTTTTTCTGTTTTGTTGTTATTCGCACTGTTTCTTCTTCTTTTTCTTCTTCTTCTTCGAAGGGAGGGGGAGGCACAGTCGAGGGAGGAAGTGCGGCAGCAGGGCCGTGGAGTCTGGACCAGGAGTCAGGCGATCGCAAACATTGATCAAGGGGGCGGTGGATGAGCGACGGGTCCCGCTTCCATGGGAAGCCGCGGATTCCCGCCGCCGAGCGCGGCGGCACCGACCGCGCTCTGGGGAGGGCCGCCTCTGCGCCGATCCACGGATTTGGTGACCGCGCGCCAGATCCATGGATCGCTAATCCATGTTTGCGCGCCCCCGGGGGTCCTTCCTCATCCTCAGGACCCCATCCCTCAGGACTCCATCCTTGAGCCAGCGTTTCTTTTCTTCTTTCGTTGCGTTCTCCGGCCCCCAATCCTGCACCCAGGCTCGGACGGCGCCCACGTCCGTGTCGGCACGCCCCCGACTGCGGGGGCCGGGCCGCGGAGGCGGGGCCCGGGGCCGCCAGACGCATCCGCAGCGCCGAGCTCCCGGCCGGCCAGGCCCGGGGGCCCCTCCCCCGGGGCCGGGGAGGAGGAGGAGGAGGAGGAGGAGGAGGAGGAGGAGGAGGAGGAGGAGGAGGAGGAGGAGGAGGAGGAGGATGAGGAGGAGGAGGAGGAGGAGGGGAGGAGGAGGAGGGGGCCCCGCTCCGCCGGTCGAGGGGTGCCCTTGGAGGGGGCGCTGCGCGGGCGACCCCTCCGGCAGGGGGGGGGGGGCGGTGCGCACGAGGCGTGCGGGGCGAAGCCGTCGCGGGGGAGGCAGGAGTGCTCAGCCACGGGGGTACGGGTGCCCCCTCGAGTCATGGAGAAGTCACGACGGGAGGTCGGCGCTGTTTTCGGCCTCTGGAGGCACTCGCCGGGCCCCGGGAGCGTCAGAAAGCGATGCAGGATGAGGAACCGGTCCCGGGGAAGGGGTCCAGACCTTTGGGGGCCGACGTTCTGGAAAAATCATGACGTCGGGGGTCGGGGAAAGGATTCTCAGCTGCGCCCCTGCTTCTAAGAAGCCTTTCCCCTCCCGCCGTACCCCCTCGGGAGCTCCGCCGAAGAGGCGTCGTGGCGCTCTGCTTCGCTCGAGCTCTGCGAGGCCCCTGGTCGGAAGAGGGGGAGGGGGCTGACAGACAGACGATGAGCCAGACAGACGGACGGATAGACGGATGCACAGACGCACGCACAGACACGCGGACAGGGAGGCGCACAGACGGACAGGCAGGCAGGCAGACAGGCAGACAGACAGACAGGGACAGACAGACAGACAGGGACAGACAGACAGACAGACAGACAGACAGACAGACAGACAGACAGACAGACAGACAGACAGACAGACAGACAGACAGATTGGTAGACAGACAGATGGACAGACGCAGGCACACGAACAGACAGGCAGACGCACGGACAGTTAGGCAGACAGACAGACAGAGGCGCGGTCAGGCCACATAGGCTGGCCCGCAGATGGGCGGGGCTGCAGCGCGCGCGCATGGGAGAGAAGATTTTGTGGCTCCGCGGGGAGGCATTTGGAGGGAGGAAGGAGGAGGAGGAAGCGGCTTGAATGCAATATGCAACGAATGTCCCTCACGGGGAGGGGGGGGATGCGTGCCTCATGCTTGAGGCGTTCTTGAGCCTGTGTCAGGCGCCACCAGGCTTCCCCCCCCTCTCCCCCCATCCTGGCCAGGCCCCACCACCTCGCCTTGGCGAGAAAGAAAAGGATGAGGAGGATGATAATGATGAAGAGGGCGAGCAACATAACGTGACGACTTGTTTTTGCCTCCAATATGTTCGCGCGTGCATTTGATCTGCAGCGTTGCGTTACCTCCGCATGACCCACGGAACGTGTTGACGTTAGCAAGACGCCAGCGTGTGAGCGGTCGGTGGAGAGCGCTCGGTAGGGGTATCACAGTCAGGGCTGTCGGCATGCATATTTCGTGGTTCGATACGACCGCCTTGATGTGCAGCACTCACCCTGCGGCAGGGCGACCACATTTAGCCTGCACAGTAAGGATTGGCAACCTTGCCAAGGGTACCCTTGCATCCTTGCCTCTTCGGCCCATCCTGGGCCGCTTTCGTTGGCCGCGCCCCGCTCGACAAGCTTCGAATTGGCCCTCCAAGGCCCTTGCATCCTTACCGCGCATCCTTCTGATACGGGTTGGCTGTACAGCGTTCCATTGTAGATTGACGGCCTCGCTTCGAGTCCAGTCTTGCTGGTCGGCCTGAGCTTCCAAGCGGAGACTGGCGACGGCTCAGTCGGGCTGGGGTCGTCGAGCGCACGGGGTGCGAGCGCCGCGCTCCGTCGGCGACGTGGCGGCCGCGCCCGAGGCCGGAACGCGCTTGGGCTTCCACGTCCGGGTCGTCGGCAGCTGCGAGGACAGTTCTCTCCACGCAGGTCGGGCCGGACGAAAGGGGGGGATTGGGAAAGGGGGGGTTACGAGATTTGCTGCATGCAGCTGGTTTCGGCCCCACCGAGGGGCCCATTCCTCGATACATTGCCGCCTCCGGCGCCGGGAGGCGCCGGGAAAATCAGCTACGTGAGCTGATTCTCACCCCCCCCCCTTTGCTATCCCCCCCTTTCGCCCGACCCGAGCAGGGCAGGGGGCACGGGCTGCAGCAGCGGGCTCGGACCCACGACTGCTGCAGACTTGAGAGGTGCTGGCGCTGCCTGTCGCGCCCCCTCGTGCCGCGCCGCTCCTGCCGCCGTTGCCCCTCGCCCACCAGCCTGATGCTTCCCACCCCCCTGTGCGTCGACATGCAGCTTCCAGTGTCTTGCGAGCCATCGCGTATTCCACAAGCCTCGGCTTCCCTCGGCCGACGAAATCTATACACGTCCACTGCTCCCCTGGCCAGGCCCATCCTGAACTCGGGAGCCGTGCATGCGCCCTCCTGGCAGGGCCACGAGGGCGTGGCGTACACACCGCAGCTGGGGTCAGGCGGGTCCCAGCCATGGAGAGCATTAGCTATATACACAGATTTCGTTGCCCTATTCCCATCCCATGTGCATCGATATGCTTCCCATTCCTTGTGCCTCTCCTCACGGTAGGTTCGCGTCGTGTCGACCGGCGGCGACCCCGCTGCGGACGTTCAAGGGTGAACGCCGCCAGTGGCCCAGAATCGGCCCACATGGAACGTTCGGACGATCGAGAACCCGCCGATCGTTCAAGGTTGAACGATCCACGCGGTGCCAGAAACCAACGCTGTCTGACCCATGGAACGATCAAGTCTCGACCCATTCCCCACCACCAGTTTCTCATCCTGAGTCGTTTCTTGACGGTCCTGGGGCCCGGCGAGGGCCTATGGAGGCTGAAAACTGCGAGCGACCTCCGTCTTGATGTTCTTACAAGACGTGGGAGCCCTGGGTACGCTTCCCATTCCATATCTCCCTCTCCTTGCCCCCCACCTCCTCGATTTCCTTCTCCTCGTCCCCCCCCGCGCTGCCTCCTGATGACATGCCGCCTCGGCGACTCGTGCGCGCCCCCTCCGAGGTATAGCACCGTCCAAGCCCCTCCTCCCGGGATTGTTGCCCCCCGGGGGAGACGAGCCGTGGGCGGCGCGTCCCGGCCCCCGACCGTGCCCCGCACGTGGGCGGAGGAGAGGTCGTCGGGAGGGGGGCCTCTGCGGGGCCAGTGGGGGGGGGGAGAGTCGGAGGAGGAGACGGTGCCCATGCCCCTGCCCTCCGCCCGTTCTCGGTGCATTGCTGGGCCGTCTCGGGCGCGCTGCACGCCAGTTGCCGGAACGTTGTCAAGGCCAGGCGTGCCCCCAAGGCTCTGCAGCTCTCCCATAAGCGACCCTGTGCAGCCACGACGTCGTCGGCCCTCTTTCGGCCCCCCGGGATGGTGTCCAGAGTGTGAAGGCCCACGTTCTGGAAGGAGAGGCCCACGCTGCCCAGGACGCCTTCTTTTTGTGAGGCAGGGAATGACGCGGCTGACAGGGTGGCCAAGCTCGGGCTTCGGCTGCACCCGAATCCCACTGACAACGAGCGTGAGCTTCTGCACTGGCAGGTCCGAGTGTGCAGAGCAGTGAGCAAGCTTGGAGCACGGCTCCTCCCTGCTTGACCTCGGCTCGATCTGTCAGGGGTTGGATTGATCGAGGCCCCGAAGGTGGCTAATGCTTGTGCTCCCACCATCGACCACGAGCGGTCGTGGTGTCGAACGTATTGGAGGTGCGACACCTTTTTGCTCTTCAAGCGCCAAGACAGCCGCCCCTCGCCTTCTGGTTGCTCGGGGGGGGTTCCCTTGACCTTGTTAGGGGTGAACGAGCGAGGGCATACGCGCTCCTCTCTTTTGCCTGCTCCGATGAGAGTCCGCTGTTCGTGTACACCTCGTGCAAGGCCTACACTACGTTGGGCCCCCTCAAGATCTTGGGTGAACTGTGCCTGGGGGCGAAGGGAGCGACAAGGAGTAATAAGAACAGGTGATCCCTCATTTTAAAGTGCCGTCACCCGAAGCACAAAGGTGTGACGTTAACGGCTGAGCTCCTTGCTTTCGAGTGATCTTGATGGCATGGCACGGTCCACGTAAAGATTCTTGTCCAGGAGATGTCTTTCTGGAATGGGGGAAAGACACATCACATAAACATCAAGAACAACTCGAAGGTCCGCGCGGATTTCTTGGATCCGCGCTGGACCCCCCTCCCTGGGGCGCGGAGCGCGCCTAGGGGCGGCGCCAGAAGCGCCGCCAGGGGACCCCGGCGCGGATCCCAGACATCCGCGCGGACCTCCGAGTTCTTGTGTTTGTGTCACTGTTCGCCCCCTATGGAATTGAGAGCGCCGCCGGCGCGAGGAGCAGGGCGCCTTTGGTCGCCGAGCCCGTTCCACCATACTCGCAAAGTACCTATACTCGCCAACGTCCGAAAACCACGTGTCTGCTTCGATGCCATTTCTCGTAGATCCCCCCGCGGGGGATCCAGGCCAGAGGAGGAGGAGGAGGAGGAGGAGGAGGAGGAGGAGGAGGAGGAGGAGGAGGATGAGTGAGTGGGGGCACGCGCTCGCCTATTTGGGGTCCTCTCCCGGGTCTCGGCGGGCTCCACCGGCAGCCCCCCCCACCGCTGCCGGCCAGCCCGGGAGGGCAAGGCGAGCCGCCCTCCATGGGCCAGCCCGGGGGGGCGGTGCCGGGGCCTCGCTCGGGGGGTGGGCGCGTGCGGGCGGCGGGGTGCTCGGCCGGTCACGGGTGCGCTTGCGTCGAACACACGCACGCGTTCTCGTCTGTTTTGTTTTTTCTGTTCTCTCTCTCTCTATATATATATAGATTTATCATTTTGCCTTGTTTTGTTCTCTCTTTCTCTCTCTCTCGCTCTCTCTCTCTCTCTCTTTCTCTCTTTCTCTATATGTATATATGTAAGTATGCATATCTCTTTATGGTGTATATATCTCTATATACATGTCCAATCATGCACTCATCTCTCTAGTCACATCTATATGTATGCATGTGTACATCGCATGTCTCACCATACACGTGAATGTGTATATATGTGTATGTGCATGCGCATATCATTGTATCCACAACACGAGAAACCTTTCAGGACCTCTTGGCCAGCCACATGCCTTCCGAGGCCCAAGCTATCTTTGTAGTGAGATCCTGTAACCCCTTGGGCTCCCTCATCAGTTACCCCTCTCGCTGGGGGGGGCCCAAGACAGTGCGGTGATCGTTCCAGCGAAGACCTCCCAGCAGCTGCCTCCCGATCGCTCCGAATCCCCACGCAATCACCCGACGGTGTGGCCACCGCCCAATCATGTATGCGTCTTCCTTTCTTTTCCAGTTCGGAGTCCCTGGCATTAAGCCGGGCAGGTCCATCTACAGGAGGGATATGCAACAGTAGTTTTAAAACAATAGTCGGGGGACGACTTGTTGAGCATTGTTGGCATTTTGTTTGATATTTGTTCTACTGTTTTTGAATACGTCGCCCAAAATCCGCCTGTGGGGGGACACGCCCGACCTGACCCTGGCAGTCCCGACCTTTTCTGGGCCGGTCTTTCCTCCTGGGCCGTTTTTGTTGTTGGTGTTGTTGTTGTTGTTGTTGTTGTTGTTGGTGTTGTTGTTGTTGTTGAACATTGTTTATTCTAAAGAATAATTATTGTTGGGCCCCCTGGTGCGCGCCCCCCCTGCGCCGCCTAGGCCGCAGCTACATTTTCATCATTTTCGTGAGGAAGCCTCAGGTAAAACGATGTGATCCAGATCCGGTTGTTTTGTTGTAATCCGTTTTCCCTTGCAAAAAACACTATAAAATGACATTTCTTGTTCTAATATAATCAAATTTCAAGAATCCCTTGCAAAAAATAAGGTAAAGTGGACATTCGCGCGCGCAAGACGAAATCCTTCCAAAAGCTTAGTGTTCGGAGCGATTTTAACATAAAAACATCAAAAAACCAATGGTTTTTCAACAAAAAAATGTCAAAATCTCATCCCGCGCGCTCTTGCGGATTCGTAGGAAACCCAACACTTTTTAAACATTTCTGTCAAACGGGCTTTTGCGAGCAACTTTTTCGAACTTCTGCGACAACGGTTGCGCACCTGCCAGGGCCATCATCCCTGTCAAATAATACCATGCGGGACACATTCGTTTTTTCTTCGCGCGCGCACGCCGTCGTCGTCGGCCGCGGGGCCCTGAATAGTAGCCACGGTCGTCCGCATGCCACGAAGTGAAGTGTCCGAACGTCATAGGGCGGGAAGCTGGGTGTGGGTGGTGGCGAAGAGTCGTTTGGAAATTTGGTAGAGCTTGAACCGGCCCCCCCACAAAGTGGGGGTATTGCCCGCCTCCTATGAAAACCCTGGCACTGGTGAGAACGGAGTGTCCCCACGTGCTAGTAATTGTTGTTGTTGTTGTTGTTGTTGTTGTTGTTGTTGTTGTTGTTGTTGTTGTTGTTGTTGTTGTTGTTGTTGTTGTTGTTGTTGTTATTGTTCTTGTTCTTGTTATTGTTCTTGTTATTGTTCTTGTTGCTGTTGTTGTTGTTGTTGTTGTTGTTGTTGTTGTTGTTGTTACACAGGCCCCAGCGTGATTGGTTGGCCGCGGCGCGAGCAGGCCCAGCGAGGGACCCTCCCGTCGTGATAGGTTGGCCGCGGCGCGAGCAGCTTTGCGCGGTGCGCTCTGGCCAGGACTCCGAGGCGGATCCCGCCGTTGCGGCGAGGGGCCCCCTGGAGCAGGGGGACGAACAATGCCATAACCACAAGAGCTCGGAGGTCGGCGCGGACTTCTCGTTTCTCGGACCGGCGCTGGAGACCCCTGGCGGCGCCTCCGGCGCCGCCCCTGGCGCGCTCCGCGCGCCTGGGAGGCGGGTCCATGGCCGATCCGAGAAATCCACGCGGACCTCAAAGTTCTGATGTTCATGCCATTGTTCGTTTCCCTACGGAGGCCCCAAGGGAAGACAGACAAAAAACACGTTCGATCTTCGAGCCTCGAGGGAGGGGGGGGAGGCGGGGGGAGGGACAGGCCACGCCACGATACGCGCGCCGGGGCCGCCTGGGAGTGCCAGACGGGAGGGGTTCACGCCCAGACATGCGAGGCCCTGACTTTTTCCACGCGCGGTGCCCAGAAGCCCCTCGAGTCATGAAAGAGTCATTGCGGAAGGTTTCTCGCTGTTTTCGGCCTCTGGAGGCCCTCACCGGGCCTCGGGAGCATCAAGCAACGACCCAGGATGAGAAACCGGCCCCAGGGAATGGTTTGAGACCTTTGGGGGTCGACGCCATGGAAAAATCATGACGTCGGGGGTCTGGGTCGTCGGGGTTGGGTTGGGGTCGTCTGGTGCCCAGACCCACGACGTCTTGAGTTGTCCCACAGCGTCGACCCCCAGAGGCTTCGACCTATTCCCCGGGACCGGTTTGTCATCCTGAGTCGCTTTTTGACGGTCCCGAGGCCCAGGACGGGCTCCCAGAGGCCGAACATCTGGAAAAGCCTCCCGCCATGATTCAGGAGGGGAAAAAACACACAGACACAATTAATCGTCGACTCCCAGAAAATATAGGAAAATATGGGAAGTGGGGGGGAAGACAGAAACCCAGAAAATATTGAAAAATATGGGCGATATTTTTATTTGTGTGTATTTATTTGTGTGTCCCAGTTCCCCTTCAATGATTTCTTCACGACTCGAGGTGCTCTGGGGTTGGGTTGGTGGGCCCTGGGTAGGTCGTCGCCTGCGGGGCGGGGCGGGCCGCGGGCGGCCCCCGCGAGAGGGGCATAGCATGAAGTCGGGCTTGTCCCTCTATAGGAGGAATGATAAAAAATAGCAGAGCAAAATAGTCTGGGGACTATTTGTTGACCATGTCGGGGCATTTTTGGGGGTATTTTTGGGGGTATGTCTTCTTTTGTCCAAGGTCCCCCTGTCGGGGGGCAGGCCCGATTTGAGCACAGCAGAAGCAGAGCCCCGGGCGCCCCGCCGAGGAGCTGGGCCGGTGGCGGCCGGAACGCGGCCTGCCGCTCCACACGTCCCGGGGGCTGCTGCAGCGAAGTGCCCCCTGGCCCTAGGGGTGCCCCCCAGGGTGTCTGCCCAGACCCCCTCGGGTGATGCAAGAGATCACGACGGGAGGCTTCTTGGTATTTTCGGCCTCTGGAGGCCCTCACTGGGCCCCGGGGTCGTCAGAAAACGACTCAGGATGAGAAACCGGTCCCGGGGAGTGGGTCCAGACCTTGGGGGTCGACGGCATGGAAAAATCATGACGCTGGAGGTTTGGGAAGATGCCCTCCAGGAATGCCCCTGACATCCTGGCGTCTCCAGTCTTTCGAGCCGGGCTTGTTCGTTCTTTTTCTCGGGCCCCGGGGCCCTCACAGAGGTCGATCCGCCTCGAGAAGCGGCGCAGAAAGGGGGGGGCCTAGCGTTCCGGGCGCGCCTTTCCACGGCGTCCCAAATGTTTTTGAGAGGTCGGATCTCAGGGTCTAAGGAGGCCCCCACGGCCTCCAATTTGGGCCTCCTGGATGCGAAGGAGCAGAGAGAGCACATCAACGCCATAGCTGTCGGCGCCCCGCGCGGATCTCTTGGCTCCGCGCGGGGCCCTCCGGGCGGCGCCTCCAGCGCCGAATGCGGCGCGCCTGCGCGCGCCAGGGAGGGGTGCCGTGGCGCAAGTCCAAGAACTCCGCGCGGACCGCCGAATTTTGTTTGGAAGTTCACGTGCTTTGTCCTTCCTCTACTTGGCATCGCTCGGACGTGTGTATTTTTCCGTCGGCGAGGACCATCGAGGAGCACCCTTGATAATTTGGCAAAAATAACCACGCACGAAACCCAAAAAAACACAGGAAATGGACGTCCCAGCGATGGCCAGTCTATGGATGGGGTCCGAGTCGATGGGGTCGGAGGGTCGCGCTGCAGAGCCGATGCATCGCCGATGCATCGCAGATGCATCGGCGATGCATCGGCGATGCAATGGGGATGCGGCGCGATCCTTCGACCCCATCTGCTCGGACCCCATCCATGAGGCCTCTACCCAAAGGGCCCCTCACGAGGCCCCGGGGACCCCAATGGCTCCAACAGTGAGCGAAAAGCTGGGGGCACCTTGGGCCAGGGGCACCTGTATCAACCCCCGGACGTCGGCCGCGCGGTTCCCCATGTGGTACTCGGAGGAGCGCCTCGTGCTGGAGGCCTTGAAGCTGGCACTCCCTCTCTCAGCAACGTTTGACCGGCCCCAATCCAGACCCCCACCATCTCAGCACCTCAGTTTCAAGTCGGGCACGTCCTCCTACAGGAGGAATCTTCAAGCATAGTTTCACACATCGTATGTGGGCGATACTTTGATTTTTGCTGGAATCTGTTTCAGCATCTTTAGAATATTTTTGCATTTTTCGTCCACAGTCCGCCTGCAGGAGGACATGCCCAACCCAGCCGACATGCAGGGGTCGGTGAAACGGTGCTCACTCTCTCGGCCGCCAGGCAGCCACAGGCCGGGCACCTCGCCACGGCCTCGACGCGCCCATCGGGGGCGGCCAAGAGCTACCAGCCTGGAGTGTACGCATCCTGGTCAAAGGGGAACGAGGAACGACATACAGTCGAGTTTGATCAGGAGGTCGACCCCGCCCAAACAGGGGTACCCTTGTGTCCTGTGTTTCGCGATCCATGTCTTCACGTTCCACTCGCAAGACGGCCATCGGACAAGTCTTTTGTCCTCTCGCGTGTCCTCTCCTAATCCACCCCGACTGTAAGCATAAGAACTCGGAGGTCCGCTCGGATTTCTCGGACCCGCGCTGGACTTTTTGCCCGCGCGCGGAGCGCGCCAGGGGCGGTGCCGGACGCGCCGCCGGGGGGGGGTCCAGCGGGGATGTGAGAAATCCGCGCGGACCTCTGAGTTTTTATGCTTATGTCATTATTCGCTCCACTACTGTTCAGCGGAGGGAGAGGTGCCGATATCGCTACCCTTCCCCTGTCTTCCCCCTTGTCGGCCTCCTGGGAGACCCTCGTGACGAGGGTCTCCCAGGAGGCCGAAAAGTCGACGAGTCGTCGCCACCGCTGGATTCGCCCCGAAATGCTGATCCGAGCGCACCCTTCGGGGAGGGGGCCCCGGGAGCAGAGTTGGCTTTCCCTTCCTCTCGACCTCGGCCGGCAGACAGCCACAGGCCGGCACCTCGAGGACGTCGGCGCGCCTGTCGGGGGCGGCCAGGAGTTGCCCAGAGCGTGAATTACCTACCCCGCTTTCGCTTCCAGGCAAAACCAAGCCATCCCACGCGCCTCCTCGTCAAGCGGCCTGACCAGTACAGGCTGCAATTTGGCATCGTTTGGTATCTATTGGAAGCGAGGGTGGTCAAAAGCGATGTAGGTTTGCTTTCCCCCTAGTTACCCCAAGGTCGAGCGCATGGAAAGAAATCATAGACGAAGGTTTTCCGCTATTTCCTGGCCGGGCCGCTAGTCTAGAGGGTCCCAGTCTAGAGGTTCCCAGGGTTTAGACAGAGCCTCTAGAGGCTTTAGAGGCTCTCGCCGGGCCCAGGGACCGTCAAATAACCACTCAGGATGAAAAACCGGTCCCTGTGAGTGGGTCGAGACCTTAGGGACCCCGGGTTTAAAGATCAAAACAGTTGATTTCTGGGTTCCAGCCAGAAGGCATATCCTTGTCTCAATGCCGATCTTCAGGATCACCATTAGTTTTTGAGGGCGCATCTCCAAGATTGTCATCGCCTTTTGGCTTGTCAATCTCCGAGATAGGGATAACTTCGAGGCTGATTACTGATCGGGGCGGGGATGAGCGGCCAGCTAGGCTTCGCGACCTGGGCCCTGGCCAACCAGGGGGTTTGTGCTGGTTCGTGCGTCCCCGATCGTCAGTTCCGAAAGGCTTCCTCGCCTGGGGATGCTTCCCAGCAGCTGCACTTCGTCGAGGGCTTTCCAAGAGAGCCCGGATCATCCCGAATGGCCGCCAGAGGTGCGAGTGGTGACCCGAAAGATACCAGGCCATGAGGGGTTGGATACGATGGCCCAGGCCACGACATCTCTCCGGATTTCATGGCCCCCTCCTCTTCTTTCAATGCGTCCCATGGTCCCCCCTTTGTCAGCACACACGCCTCGGGCCCCGATTTGCGAATCCACGACGACGGCGACCGCGACGAAGCCGCCCACGAGGACGACGACCGCGGCGCCGACGACGACGACGACGACGACGACGACGACGACGACGACGACGACGACGACGACGACGTGCCCGGGGCCCGACAGCCCACGCCGCCCAGGCTGCCACCGGGGGGGCCCGCTGCCGAGCTCTCGGCGGGCAGGCCGGGACGGAGCCGGACTGCTCCGGAGCGCCTCGGAGCCCAGGCTCCCGCGCCGTGCAGCAGTCGCGACGGGAGGTTCTGGCCCGGCTCTGGCCCGGCTGCGGCCTCTGGGGGCCCTCGCCGGGCCCCATGGGGGCTGCGACGAGCAGCTGAATTCGGGGCGAGAGAAAAAAGCTGGCCTTTGGGGGAGGGGTCGCCGCACGTGTGGGTCACGGACATCTCCTCCCCTGCCCGAAGAGGAGGGCGAGCAAAGGGGGGGGGGGCTGTTCTGAGGCAATCTGTTCTGCCCCGGAGTGCCCCTGCGGGGCCACTCCTCTGCGCGGCCCTGCCTTCTCTCGGCGTCCTTGTCGGAGGTTTGGCAGGAGGGGAAAAAACACACAGACACAATTAATCGTCGATTCCCCAAGAAAATATGGGAAAATATGGGAAGTGGGGGGGAAGACAGAAACCCAGAAAATATGGCAAAATATGGGCAATCTTTTTATTTGTGTGTCTATTTATTTGTGTGTTTGTGGGCCCCTTCAATTTGGGGGGGAGGTCGCCCCGGGACGGAGAGCCCCCCGTCGGGGAGTCGGTTTCGGTTTCATGCTCGTGTCGTGCGTGCGGTTGAGGCGAAGCGGCGTGGGCGCGCAAGGGGAGTGATGCCGCCGTGGTTAGGGGCTGCGGAGGCGGTACTGCCACTGACCAGTTTTTCCGTTTTCGGGTCTCCTGGAAGGCCCTCGTCGCCACCGCTGGATTCGTCTCGAAGTTGTGGTCAGTCAGAACGCACTCGGGGAGAGGTCCGGGGAGCAGCGTATCGGTACTTTTTGGTCGCCCCAAGAACATCATGTGATTTGGGATCGCAAGTTTTTCTGAGCAGGTGAAGCGAGGGTGTGGATCCTGTGAGCAGAAGCTCTTCCCGAAGCTAGAGGTCTGGGCAGACCAGCCCGTGAGCCCTAGACGACGGCCCGTTACGTCGAAGAAGAAAAACGTTATAACCGTACAGTTCTGGCGCTCCGCGAGGATTTCTTGGATCCGCGCTGAGGCCCTCTGGCGGCGCCTCTGGCGCCGCCCCTGGCGCGCTCCGCGCGCTAGGGAGGGGGGGTCCAGCGCCGATCCGAGAACTCCGCGCGGACTTCAGAGCTTTTATGCTTATGCCATGCGTCGTTCCCCCACTTACGTCCACAGCAGAGCACAAAGCCTGGTCGATGACCCGTCTGTCCGCAGGCGGACACGGAGTACAAGTACGTGGAGGACCTAGCCGTCGGCGGGCGAAGCGAGGGATATCGGGCTTGGCATCGCTCGGACGCGTGCACTCTTTCCCCGGCGAGGACCATCGAGGAAGACCTGGGGTCATCTCATCGAGGGAGTGCTCCCGCGAACCCGAAGCATGCACGGGGAATGGCCGTCCGAGCGGTGGCAAGTGGGGCGGTCGAGGGGGGGGGGGGGGCTTGCCCGTCCCTGCGCTTGGCACCTTCCGAGCTCTGCCTTCTGCCCTTGCAGGGCCCCCGGGCATCGTCGCCGTGGCTGGAAGCGGCCGCAGGCAGGCCGCACCCGAAGGGCAAGTGGCAAGCCGGCGACGCAAGACAACAGAGCCGTCTGCGCAGACAGTGAGCGCGCGTGAGCGCCCTCGCTTCCAATGTAAGGTGCCGCACTGGAGGCCCGCGCAAGACACCGCGGAAGGTTGCCATGACATCTCGCCGAGCAAGACCCGCTCCTGATCGTCGCCAAAGCTCGGCGGCGAGCGAGTGGGGGCAACGAGAAGGAGAGGGCCTTCCCAGAAGGCGGCGGGACTTCTCAGAAGCCCTCCTGCCTTCCGAGAGGTGTCCTGTGCCCTCCGGGACTGCTCCGAACACTTCTCAGGAGGCTGGACGCCTTCCGAGCCCTTTTCGGGGCGCGACTCCGCTGGAGGAGGCAGCGAGGGCTGCAGAAAAGGGGCCAGTTGGGGGCCCCAGGCGGGGCCGTTAGGGCCCGGAGAGGGTACCCTGATCCCCCTCCCCCTGCCCCTCCCCCCTCCCCCCCTCCCTTTGATCGCCCCTCCCTGCATATCGCGCACAACCCAGACCCCGGACGCCATGGTTTGTTCTTCTTGTCGACCCCTGGAGGTCTCGACCCTTCCCTTTCCTCCTCCGCCTCCCCCGCCTCCGCCTCCTCCGCCTCCTCCTCCTCCTCCGCCTTCTCCTCCTCCTCCTCCTCCCTCCTCCTTCCTCCTCCTCCTCCTCCTCCTCCTCCTCCTCCTCCTCCTCCTCCTCCTCCTCCCCTCCCCTCCCTCCTCCTCCTCCTCCCCTCCTCCTCCTCCTCCTCCTCCTCCTCCCTCCTCCTCCTTCCTCCTCCTCCTCCTCCTCCTCCTCCTCCTCCTCCTCCTCCTCCTCCTCCTCCTTTTCCCCCCCAGACCCCGACGTCATGATTTTTTCTGATTGTCGACCCCTGGAGGTCTTGACCCCGTCCCCCGGGACAAGTTTTTCATCCTGACTCGTATTCTGACGCTCCCAAGGGGCCGAGGCCGCAGATGGCGACACGCCTCCCGTCGCGATTTGTGCCACAGCGCGAGGGAGTCTGGGAAATCAGAAGGCCCGCCCGCCCCTTCTCACTTCCCCCCGGGGTCGCCGCCGACAAGTCAAATCTGGGCTTCAGAGACGGGGGTCGATGCAAACGGGGGTCAGCCAGAACGCTAGATCTTGTTGGATTCTGCAGGGCCAGGGTCGCAGTGACCGGGGCTTGGGCGCAGGACCCTGCAGGATCTTGCAGCATCCTGTAGGGCCTGACCGACCCGGGTCTGGATTGACCCTGGCCAGCAGATCCCCGATACAACTCTCAAGGGGTCGCCGCGGGCCCCTGCCTCTGCGGGCAGGCGCTCTCTCCGGGCCTCTTCTCTTGCGGCCCGCCCTCGGCGCCGCCCTCGGGGAGCTCGGGAAGCTCGGGCGACCCGCTGCCTTTCTGCCGCGAGATGCCCTGCTCGGACGCACTTCTGACTATCATGATTGTTATTGTTATTGGCTGGCTTATATATACATATATACATATATATATATATATAGGGCCATCGAGGGGCACCTTGGCTCGCCTTGCGAAAGGATCGGCGGTGAGCCCGGGTGAGCAGTGAGGAGGGCCGCGGGCCTTCTCCGGAGGTTCGGGAGTCCCCCGGCCTCTGAGCAGTCTCCTGGGCCTCCCCCCCCCCCCCGGAAGAGAGAGAGGCAGCTGCTCGGAGGGCGCAAGGGGGTCCTATAGAAGTCCCGCCGCTTTCTGGCAAGGCCTTCTCCGCCTCCTTCTCACTCCCCCCCCCCCTGCCCGCCACCGAAACAAAAAAAAAGCTGGGCGCACGCACAGAGGCACGGGGAACGGACGCCCGAGCGATGGCAGGCCTGCGTCCCCGAGATCCGACGTTGCAGAACTCAGGGCGTGAATTGCCTGCCCCGCTCTCGCTTTCAGGCAGAACCAAGCCATACCACGCGCCTCTTTTCGTCAAGCGGCCTGACCAGTACAGGCTGCAGTTTGGCATCGCTTGGTATCTCCTGGAAGCGAGGGTGGTCAAAAGCGAGGTAGGCTTGCTTTCCCCCTAAAAACAGTGGCAACGTCGCAGGAAATGACGACCAGGGCCCTGGACTACCTTCCTGCGCCATTTTTCAGGCTGCCTGGGTCTGTGAGGGCCCCGGGGCCCGACGCGACGCAAGAGTGCCACGACAGGATCTCAGGGGATGCGGCTTGGCCGTGCGAGGCGCCCGGGGGGGGGGGCGGAGACGCCTTTTTCCTTCTGCAGGCCGCGCGCGAGAGCCGTGCAGCTGCTCGAGCGATCGCAAACATGGGTCAAGGGGGCGTGGATTAGCGACGGGTCCCGTTTCCATGGAACATCGCGGATTTCCGTCGCCCGTTTGCAGGCAGCTCAGCCAGCCTCCCATCAGCCCGCGGCCCCACCGGCAGTAGGTTCTGAGCGCGGGCTCGGCCGCTGTGCTTTTAGGCTTGCGCGTTGCTAATTTGACAGGCCCGTGGCCCGGACCTCTCAGCTCGGCGACTGCGAATCCGCGTCCGCCCGCGACCAAAAAAAGAAGAAGGATTTCCGTCGCCGAGCGAGGCGGCACCAGCCGCATTCTGGGGAGCGCCCCTCCCCCGATCCATGGCTTTGGCGACCGCGCGCCAAATCCATGGGTCGCTGATCCATGTCTGCGCGCCCCCGAGGCTGCGGCGTGCGCGTCGCAGCGGGGTGCCCTGCGAGAGGGGCCCGGGCCCCCCCACGGCCTCGTCACGCGACCGCCCTCCGCCAGGGGCGCCGCGCGCGAGCTTCGCGAGTGGCGCCGTTCGCGCGCGCGCGCGCGGTGCGCGGTTGAGTGGGCGGGAGCGGCGCGGGGAGAGGACGGGGGGGCTTGTCGAAGAAACAAACATACAGTAGAAACCATGCCAAGAAACACCCTGCTGGCCTCCAGGGTGCCCAGGGTTTCTCGAAGTCGATGGTTCTGCTGCAGAAGGCGCGGCGCTCCCACGCCAAAAATCCATGGATGTCCTGGGGCCTCAGGGTTGGGTTTCTTGTGGAAGGTTTCTTGTGGACTGGCCTCCATTGTAAACAGAAGCCTTTCGCGCTCCGAGCGGATTTCTAGGATCCGCGGCGGGACCCCCTGTCTAGATTGCCGACAAAGGTCCTCTGATTTTCTTGACCGCGGCCTGGCTCGATTCTTCCCGCTCTCTTCCCTTCCCGTCCAAGCTACGCCGTTCTCGCACGCCGGCGGATTGCGACACTGTCGGGGGCAGCCGGCAGCCGGGGAGTGAGCTGTGAGAGTGAGCGAGCTGGGGAGTGAGCCGGAAGACGGGGGAGTGAGCAGCCCGGGGCGTGAGGTGAGTGAGCTGGGGGAGGGGGGCCCCGTAGCTGCGGACGATCATCTTTATAAATGTCAAGTGAAAGTCTAAATATTTAACAACAACTTTGTTGATTAGCGGTATTATGTGTAACTTGTTCAGAAAACCTCCCTCCTGGGCGGGAGCTGGGGGACGATGGAGCGAGCTGGGGTGACAGGGGGGCGGGGGGCAGAGCGGGGGGGAGCTCCTCCTCCTCCTCCTCCTTTTCTTCCTCCTCTTCCTCGGAGTGGGCTGGGAGAGTGAGCTGGGTGACGTGGGAGGCAGGGGGGGGGGGGCGGGAGGAGGGGAGCCGGTGCTCGCGGAGCGGGGGCAGCCGCGCCGGAGCAGGCGGCAGACGGAGGACGAGTGCAATTGGGAAGGCGACGAGCACGCGAGGAGGAGAAGGACGAAGGAAGGAGGGGGAGGAGGAGGAGGAAGACGAGGACGCGGACGAGAAGGAGGAGGAGGAGGAGGAGGAGGAGGAGGAGGAGGAACAGGGGGAGGAACAGGGGGAGGAGGCGGAGGAAGAGGATCGGGAAGGGGGTCGAAGGCAGTAGTGGTGGCGGGGGCGACAGCGAGAGCAGGGGGCAGAGGAAAACAGAAGGGGGGGCGGCGGCGGAAGGGGGAGGGGGGAGGAGGCTGACGCCGACGACGACGACGACGACGACGACGACGGCGACGATGACGGCGACGGCGACGGCGAAGACGACGACGACGACGGCGACGACGGCGACGGCGACGGCAAAGGCGACGGCGACGGCAAATGCGACGGCAACGGCGACGGCGACGGCGACGGAGACAGTACCTTGCGATGGCAACAGCGACGGCAACGGCGACGACGGCCGCGACGGCGACGGCAAAGGCGACGACGACGGCAAATGCGACGGCAACGGCGACGGCGACGGCGACGGAGACGACACATGCGACGGCAACGGCGACGGCAAAGGCGACGACGGCCGCGACGACGACGACGACGACGACACGTGAGCAGGGCGGCGGCGGCAGAGGCTGAGGGAGGGGGGAGGGAAGGAGGGCGTGGGCGAGGGCAAGCCGCGGACCCAGGCAATACTCTGGGAGAACAGGTCTCCCGCGGACCGCGGTGGAGCGCGGCAGACCTTCGGGCCAGCCACTACGATCCCAGCTGATCTAAGTTTGCTTAGCGTAGCAGAAAGGCGAGGACAGGGGTGAGGACGAGGATGAGGACCGTCATGAGGCCTTTTTGCCGCCCCGACCGACCCCCCCCCTGGAGGGGAAAGGGGGCGGGCAGGGGGCAGAGCGGGTCTGCGAGAAGAGTTGCAAACAAGTCGCGTCCGAGGTCGAAAGAACGCTGGCGAACACGCGATCGCAATCGCAGAAGGCTTCCCCCAAACCAATACTCAGGGCTCAGGGCTTCCTGCTCAACCAAGCAGCACTTGTACGTAGAGGTTGTTACTGTTCTTCCTAACGAATTGGATGGGCACATCTCTTGCGAGGGTCCGCTGGCTGCGTCTTTTTGTTGACCGCCTCATTGAGTCTATGTTCGTTGTTATTGCTGTTTGTCTCCTCGGCCTGCTTTGGTCCGCACGTCGGGGTCATCTTGTTCCGACGGATTTCAGTCGGGGCCCTGAAGAAAGAACCCTGTTTGTTGGGGAGGGGCTCCGTGCTCCTTAGTTGCTTTACAGTGCTCCTTGGGTCTTCCTGATGTTTTCCATGGAACATCGGAGTCTAATGTATGGGAAAAAGGGGCCTCGTGTCTTATTTATCGTTCCTTCGGTCAACTCCCCGACTGTATGCAACAGTCTGCAGACCTCCAGCAAAGACTGCGGCTTTGGAGTCCTTCCCGTCGTGCTGCCTGCGCGCATAGCTGCTGCTGCCTCGACCTCCGGTGCCTTCGCGCCTGTCTTTTCGAAGCCGCCTCGAGGCCTGCGCGGGGGGCCTCTGAGAGGTCTCTGCCCGAGCTCCCGGACGGGCTTCGCGGGAGGCCCCCCCCGGCGGCTTCCCGGGAGGTCTCCTTGGGGGCCCTCCGGGGTCCTGGGGGCCATCTTGTCGGCGAGGGGCCTTTCGGGCCGCTCGGGCTTCTCGGAAGCCCGGAAGGCAATGATGCGAAGCTCATCCAAGAACAAGTGGGAAGAGAACGGTTTTTGCTGTCAGAGGTCATCATCGTCGGAGCTCTTCTTGGGCCCTTTTTGCGGCGTCTCGGGGCGCCTTGAGCCCATCTAGGGTATTCTTGAGGCCCTTCAGCGTGTCGGAGCCCCTCTGGAGCATACCAGAAGGCATCTGGGGCATTTTGGAGGTGACGGAGACCAGATTCGGAGACTGCGGAGGCCCCAGGGTTTCGTTGGGGAGCGCGTGCATTCCCCTCCCCCATCTATGGCCTCCCTCCCTCTAATCAGATTTTGGGCACCCCGGGCAAGAGGGAGTCGGCGAATTGTGGGGGATGCACGTGCTGAGTCGTGTTTGATCGCCTCTGACTTTCTCATCTCCGCGTTGCGGCGGCCAGATGTGTTCGATCAGTTGTGATGCGAGCAGGAAGGAGTGTAAACGGGTGAGAACGAGGTGGGGCACCAAGAGGATGGAGTGGATTCTGGGCTAAGGTGGTCTGCGACAGCAACGGTAAGGCCGAGCAGTGGGAAGAGCACAGGAATCGCCGCGTCGGCAGACGAGCAGGTCAATGGGCCAACATTTCACAGGGATTGTATAAGAGGTGGGCGCATTGAGATGACGGAGGGCAGTGGCCCCTTGAGAACGGTATTGGCATATTGGCCTTATGAGTTCATGGTTCAGCACCGTTGACGACGGGGCTCTCCAGCATATAGCATGGGGCGGCTCTTTCAGATGCATGATGTGTGGACGTTGGTTTGCCCCCCAGTGCAGGGTCTACCCTTGAGTAGGAGTGCGGCCAGAGATGGGCCTTCTGAGTCCAGTTGAGGTTACAAGCGGGGTGGAAGCGTTCGTTGTTAAATGCAGTGATCATGTTCGGACGATGTCTCTGCTTTCTGTCAATGCAGTCATTCGAGGTACATGCCGTGCTCCATGTAGTCACCACGCAGCCCCTCATAAGCACGGAAGTGTGTGTGTGTGGGGGGGGGGGGGCGGGGCGTACGGGGCCGCACCCGACAGACCAATTGTTCAGAAGGTCTCAAGACAGCGTGTCACAGAGGGAAACATATATTCGACCACTTGTGAACCATACCCCGACGGTTCCAATAGACGCTGGTTTATCGGACGCACTTATCGGGGTTCACCCGGCTTTGGACATCCTCAGCATCCTGAACCCCCGTCGGCGTTTCACAAATCTGACCTGCAGGGGCAGGGTTCACACTTGGCTGCCTGAGACGAAGACGATGAGAAAGAATAACATACAGTCGGGGCCCTGAAGAAGGAACCCTTTTTGTTGGGGAGGGGCTCCGTGCTCCTTAGTTGCTTTACAGTGCTCCTTGGGTTTTCCTGAGGTTTTCCATGGAACATCGGAGTTTAACTTATGGGAAAAAGGAGCCTCGTTCCTTATGGATCGTTCCTTAGGTCAACTCCCCGACTGTATTACATGAACATACACGTTCGCAGGTTCGCGAGGGCTTCTTGGGTCTTCTCTTCCCCCACCGGGGCGGCGCGCTCGCCCCAGAGGAGCACCAGGGCAAGATACAGGGGAGACCCATGCCACGAAGCACCCTGCTTGCCTTTACTTGGCATCGCTCGGACGTGGGCATTTTTCCTTCGGCGAGGACCATCGAGGAGCATCCTTGATCATTTGGCGAAAAAACCACGCACGAAACCGACAAAAAACACAGGGAATGGACGTCCGAGCGATGCCCAGTCCAGGGTTCACTGGGTTTCTTGGGTTTCGATGGCTTTGCTGTGGCAGCCGCGACGTGCCCAGACGCCCTGGGACCTCAGGGCCGGGTGTCTTGCGGAAGGCTTCTTGTGGTCGGGCCCCCATTGTATTATGGGATCGTTGTCTGAGTCATTGTTTTGCCGATCGGCGCGGGCCCTCGCGCCCCCCCCCCTCTCCCGTGGAGTAGCTCTTGGCCTTTTTGCGCTCCTGTTTCGAGCAGGGGGGGTCTCCCCCATAATTAGGACGCCTCGCTGCAAACACAGTCGCCGTAAAGCAGAGGTCCAGAGCCAGACCCTCCCCTTCCCCCCCCTTTTCCCCTCCCTCCGCCCAATGTCGAAACGCCGGGTAAGAAAACGGTCACTGTGTGTGTGCGTCGCCCCCCAAGGGGCGAGACGAACGCGCGCGCGACGAATGGCGGCCGCTCTCTGGCCGCACCGTTCGGGAAACGACGTAATACAAGACGGACGTATTGTCTGTTCGGGTCGGAGGAGGATGCAGCCACACAAAACGAGGATCAGCACAGAGGAAGGAAGAGGAGGAGGGGGAGGGGGAGGAGGAGGAGGAGGAGGAGGAGGAGGAGGAGGAGGAGGAGGAGGAGGAGGAGGAGGAGGAGGAGGAGGAGGAGGAGGAGGGAGGAGGAGGGAGGAGGAGGACGGAGGAGGGGGGAAGGAGGAGGACGGAAGAAGGAGGAGGAGGAGGAGGAGGAGGAGGAGGGGGAGGACGGAGGAATGAGGAGGAGGAGCAGAACGCAATCCTCCGAGGAGGACACGCAGCATTGGTATGCCCTTCTGTGTCCTACCATGGACGCCCCTCGTCCTGCCTTCACCGCTCTGGGCAGTTCGCCCCCAGCTCCTGCCCTCTGGGGCAAGAGTGCGATCCGCGGCTCAGTAGCGAGAGCATTTAAGCACTCTATAAGTTCTTTTGTTTATTGCACTCGATGGCATGCGAATTCCAAGCCCTGCCCTCACCGATCCACGATGCGGGGAACTCGATGGGCGGCGGGGGTAGGGTTCGGAGTTCGTCGAACACTTGGCGAGATCCGAACCCTACCCCCGCCTTCCCTCCTCCTCCTCCTCCTCCTCCTCCCCCGCCTCCCATCGATTCAGCTGGATCGATGGTTGGTGGTGGTGGTATGGTTCCGATGTCGCCACCTATACCCGAGTTTTTTCCCCACATGCTTCGTGGGGTTATGGTGTTCTTCTCTGCCGCGTCGCACCCGCGACCCTCACTCACCTCACCTCCTCCTCCTCCTCCTCTTCCTTCTCACACAGCGCAGCACAGCACAGCACAGCACAGCACAGCACAGCACAGCACAGCACAGCTTAGCCCGGCCCAGCACAGCACAGCTCAGCACATCACTGCACAGCACAGCATAGTACCTCAGCACAGCACAGCTCAACACAGCAGAGCACAGCAAAGCGCAGCACAGCACATCACAGACCAGCACAGCACACCACAGCACAGCAGGCGTGGCACTTTCTCGACACCAAAGGGGGTGCGCAGGGGGTGGTCCCTCAGTGCGGTTTCTATACGCGCCAATGTCGCAAGGCATAGCAGGCGTGGCACTTCCTCGATACCAGAGAGGGTGCGCAGGAGGTGGTCCCTCAGCGCGGCCTCTATGCGTGCCAGGGTCGGACAGCGTGGCAGGGGTGGCACTTTCTCGACACCAGAGAGGGTGCGCACAGGGTGGTCCCTTAGCGCGGCCTCTATGCGTGCCAGGGCCGGAAAGCGTGGCAGGGGTGGAACTTTCTCGACACCAGAGAAAGTGCGCACAGGGTGGTCCCTCAGCGCGGCCTCTATGCGTGCCAGGGCCGGAAAGCGTGGCAGGGATGGCACTTTCTCGACACCAGAGAGGGTGCGCACAGGGTGGTCCCTTAGCGCGGCCTCTATGCGTGCCGGGGTCGGAAAGCGTGGCAGGGGTGGAACTTTCTCGACACCAGAGAGGGTGCGCAGGGGGTGGTCCCTCAGCGCGGCCTCTATGCGTGCCAGGGTCGGACAGCGTGGCAGGGGTGGCACTTTCTCGACACCAGAGAGGGTGCGCAGGAGGTGGTCCCTCTTTGCGTGCCAGGGTCGGAAAGCGTGGCAGCACTTTCTCGACACCAGAGAGGGTGCGCAGGGGTGGTCCCTCAGCGCGGCCTCTATGCGTGCCAGGGTCGGAAGCGTGGCAGGGGTGGCACTTTCTCGACACCAGAGAGGTGCGCACAGGGTGGTCCCTCAGCGCGGCCTCTATGCGTGCCAGGGTCGGAAAGCGTGGCAGGGTGGCACTTTCTCGACACCAGAGAGGGTGCGCAGGGGGTGGTCCCTCAGCGCGGCCTCTATGCGTGCCAGGGTCGGAAGCGTGGCAGGGGTGGCACTTTCTCGACACCAGAGAGGGTGCGCAGGGGGTGGTCCCTCAGCGCGGCCTCTATGCGTGCCAGGGTCGGAAAGCGTGGCAGCGCTTTCTCGACACCAGAGAGGGTGCGCACAGGGTGGTCCCTCAGCGCGGCCTCTATGCGTGCCAGGGTCGGAACGTGGCAGGGGTGGCACTTTCTCGACACCAGAGAGGGTGCGCACAGGGTGGTCCCTTAGCGCGGCCTCTATGCGTGCCAGGGCCGGAAAGCGTGGCAGGGGTGGAACTTTCTCGACACCAGAGAAAGTGCGCACAGGGTGGTCCCTCAGTGCGGCCTCTATGCGTGCCAGGGCCGGAAAGCGTGGCAGGGGTGGCACTTTCTCGACACCAGAGAGGGTGCGCAGGGGGTGGTCCCTTAGCGCGGCCTCTATGCGTGCCAGGGCCGGGAAGCGTGGCAGGGGTGGCACTTTCTCGACACCAGAGAGAGTGCGCACAGGGTGGTCCCTTAGCGCGGCCTCTATGCGTGCCAGGGCCGGGAAGCGTGGCAGGGGTGGCACTTTCTCGACACCAGAGAGAGTGCGCACAGGGTGGTCCCTTAGCGCGGCCTCTATGCGTGCCGGGGTCGGAAAGCGTGGCAGGGATGGCACTTTCTCGACACCAGAGAGGGTGCGCACAGGGTGGTCCCTCAGCGCGGCCTCTATGCGTGCCAGGGCCGGAAAGCGTGGCAGGGGTGGAACTTTCTCGACACCAGAGAGGGTGCGCAGGGGGGGTCCCTCAGCGCGGCCTCTATGCGTGCCAGGGTCGGAAAGCGTGGCAGGGATGGCACTTTCTCGACACCAGAGAGGGTGCGCACAGGGTGGTCCCTCAGCGCGGCCTCTATGCGTGCAAGGGCCGGAAAGCGTGGCAGGGGTGGCACTTTCTCGGCACCAGAGAGGGTGCGCACAGGGTGGTCCCTCAGCGCGGCCTCTATGCGTGCCAGGGCCGGAAAGCGTGGCACTTTCATGACACCAGAGAGGGTGCAGCTATCACCACGCAAGAACCATGATAAGTATGAGAACTCCTGTCGCGTAAGTATGAGAACTCCTGTCGCGTATGAGAACCATGTGCAGCTATCACCACGCAAGCTCGGTAGCGTAATTTGTGAATCGAACTCCTTGTCGCCCGCGGGGTGCCCGTGGAACGAGGGAGGCTGCCAACTCGCGAAAAGCTCGCTGTCATGGTTGAGGGCAACGTCCCCCCCCGATCAGGGCCATGTGGACGACCATGAAAATTCGTCGGAAGCGCTTGGGATCACCAGGAGGAGGAGGGAGGAGGGGGGAGGAGGACGACAGGGGAGGGAAGAGGAGGGCTTGTTGTGACGATGAGGAGGAGTAGGGGGATAGGCGGCGAGGGGGACGAGGAGGAGGCCCCCGTCCTCGTCGTCTCCCGCCCTCCTCCTCGCCCTGTCCAGGTCGAACCGCGGTCATCTCGGAGACCTTCAACGCCCGCAGCGACTTCGACGAGTCCGCCTCCAGCACGTGCCCAGACCAGGCAGCGAGATTCAAGGCGCCGCGTCTCCACGCGAGGTGGGGAGGAGGAGGAGGAGGAGGAGGAGGAGGAGGAGGAGGAGGAGGAGGAGGAGGAGGAGGGGGAGGAGGACGACGACGAGGAAGGCTTCTCCTCCGACGTTCTCGTCGGCCTTCACCGTCCTCAGCGTCCATGCTCCTCCATCCTTCTCCTCCTCGTCCTCCTCCGTCGTCCCGCTTGCTCTCACTCCTCCCTCGGCTGTGGGGTGAGCATGGTGAGCAGTGCGTCGCTCTGGACGTTGCGTCCTCAGGAGGAGCGTCCACTAGCAGGGTGTCGCGGAGCCATGTCTACGGGGCCTCCGGGCCGTAGACGGGGTGGTTGTGCTTCACCCTGTGTGCATGCTCTGCATGAGCCTCGGGGCCGTGGACGGGGTGTTTGCGCTTGACCCTGGGCGCATGTTCTGCATGAGCCTCGGGGCCGTAGACGGAGTGCTTGCGCTTCACTCTGGGCACGTGTTATGCATGAGCCTTGGGGCCGTAGACGGGGTGGTTGCTCTTCACCCAGGGTGCATGCTCTGCATGAGCCTCGGGGCCGTGGACGGGGTGGTTGCGTTTCACCTTGGGTGCATGTTCTGCATGCGCCTCGGGGTCGTAGAGGTTGCGCTTCACCCCGGTTGCATGTTCTGCATGAGCCTCGGGGCCGTAGACGGAGTGGTTTCGCTTCACTTTGGGCACATGCTCTGCAGGAGCCTAGAGACCGTAGACGGGGTGGTTGCGCTTTCTCCCAGGGTGCATGCTCTGCATGAGCCTCGGGGCCGTAGACTGGGTGGTTACACTTTGAACCCAGGGCGCATGCTCTGGCCCCTGGGGCAAACGAAAAGGTCCAAGCCAGACAGGGGGGCATTTTTGCAGTGAACGACGCGGAGCGCGCGGCGGATGAGCAGGGGCAGTATCAGGGTGGTTTGAAAGGAGGGAGGGACATCTGTATGAGAAGAATGCGTACAGTAGGAGCTCGACCACAAGAAACCTTTTCACAAGAAACGGACGTCCATTCATGTTTGGTGTGGGAACGTCACGCTTGCCATCGCAAAACCATCGAAACCCAAGAAGCCCAGGACACCCTGGAGGCAAGCAGAGTGTTTCTTGGCATGGGTTTCCATTGTAGGAGGGGCATGAATGCCAGGGAACGGCGGAGGAGGGAAAAGGAGGGAGATGGTACCCACGGGGACCGCCTCGGATCCACAAGGCCTCGCTCTGGGGCGAGAGGGCAGGTCCGAACGACGCGAGCAAAGCGCCAATCCTGAAAAGCGGCCAGCGCTGCAGGGGTAACATAACGTTTGAAGGACCGAAGCCGGCCCGACTGGAAATCCACGCGCGCACACGGGAACAGACAGCACTATTGTTCAACATTGTGTATGCGTGCGTGTGCGTGTGCGTGTGCGTATGCTTGTACGTGTGCGTGCGCGCGTGCGCGTCCGTGTGCGTTCGTTTGCGTGCGCGTGTGCGTTCGTTTGCGTGCGCGTGTGCGCGAGCGCGTGCGCGTGCGTGCGTGCGTGCATGCGTGCGTGCGTGCGTGCGTGACTGCGTGCGTGCGTGCGTGCGTGTGTCTGTGCGTGCGCGCGTGCGTGCGTGCTTGCGTGCGTACGTGCGTGCGGGCGGGCGCGTGGGTTTGTGTGTGCGTGCGTGCGTGCGTCGTGCGTTCGTGCGTGCGTGCGTGCGTGCGTGCGCGCGCGCGTGCGTGCGTGTGTGTGTGTGTGTGTGTGTTTGTGCGTGTGTCTGTGTGTGCGCGGGTGTGCGGGTGTGCGTGCGGGCGCGTGCGTGTGCGTGTGCGTGCGTGTGTGCGGATCGGAATTCATTGGAGGGTGCTACCCCGCACAAAAGTGTACCTGGGGAGAAAGGAGAGCAAATTTCAAATCGCGCAAGTGCGGTGCACTTTCCCTTCGGGTCTTTCCATTCCAATGAAAATTCAAATCGCGCAAGTGCAGAGGAGGGGGAGCAGGAGGAAGAAGAGAGGAAAGTAGGATGATAAGTACACCCAAGACATCAACGATATTGCAATAAGCCCTCCCTCCGAGCTTCCTCCTAAATGCCCCTACAAGGATTCATCTCGGGGGCTTTCTTAGTAGCCTTTCAAGCCGTCTTGGATGCCTCTTGGTGGTCTCGGGAAGGAGCCCCTTGGTGGGTCTTGGGTGCCGTTGAGTAGTGCCTCTTGAGGCCTCATGGTGTCGATGTGTCTCCTGTTGGGGGCCTCTTGGGGGTCTCTTGGGGGCCTCTTGGGGCTCTCTCGGGAGCCATGGAGGCCATCTTGTAGGACATCGAGCAAAGAACGGGGGTCCGTACTTACCGGCGCTCCTCTACGGCCCCTCAAACAGCCTCTTTGGGCCATCTTGGAGCGCTCTTGGAACGCTCTTGGGGCCGTCCAGGGGCCCTCTTGGGCTTGTCTTGGTGCCTTCTTGGGCCATCTCTTGAGGCTTCGGCCATCGAAAGCGAAAAGGCAAGAAAGCAAGAAATACTGATTTTCCATAGGTTTTGGAAGGATGTGAGCCTCTTGGGGGCTCTCTTGCGGGTGCTCGAGGCCACTTGGAGCCTTGTTAAGGCGGTTGTGGAGCCTCCAGGAGCATGTTGGGAGCCATCTTGAACAATCTCCAGCCACCTTGAGCCGTCTTGGACGCCATCTTGGGCTATATGAGGCCCTCGTGGAGCCATCGTGGGCCATACTGGACGCTCCAATCGGTCGCGAGGCGCCCCATATAACTTCAGGGGGGGGGGGTTCGGGGGAGCGGTGAAGACACCATCTCCTCCCGCAAGCCGTCTCGCTCACTCCCACCCGGCCTCCCAACATATAAGTTGCACCCAAGCCTCAGCATGTTCAGCGGTCGTCTTTGGATGGCTAGCGACTGAAACCAAAACCGACCCCATGTGCGCGACGCTGGGACGAGGTGCGCCACGCGTGCCAGGCGCGCCACGCGCGTTAGGCACCACTGGGGCCCGAGCTGCCAGGCACGCCTGGTGCGCGAAGTATGCTCCACGTGCGCGGAGTATGCCGCATGCTGCAGCCGCGCCAGGTGTGCCACGTCCGGGGCACGTGCAGAGTGTGTCAGGTTCGCCTGCGCATGTGACAGCACACATCGGGAAACATGTCGGCCTCCACCGACCCGGTCGAAAGCCCATGCCCATCATGGTGTTTGGTTGGCCTGGATACAGCAGGCCATATGCCACCACCCCCGCCGTCCGTGTCGAAAGCCACTTGCCAGTGATCATTGGGTGGCCGTGCATGATCCAGATTTAGCCGCGAAGTGCATGTCGTATGGTTTTTGGCAGGGATGGTGGTCCTGCGCACAGCAGGCAATATGCTGGCACCCCAGCCGCCCCTGTCAATACAAATAATACAACGTGCTCGCGGGGCTCCGAACACGACGCAAGACTTCGTCCAGAAGTGTATTTTGTAGTGCTTTTTGAGAGGGATGGTGGGGAGGCGCATCGGCTCAGCCGCGCATGCTCTCAACGTTGAGGCAGAGTGTGTGTTTGTATTGTTTTCCGTAGCCATTTTGGCTCAATCGTTTTTGGTTCAAGCCATGTTGGTTCAAGGACACAGCGTGTCCTTGGGCCGGTGAACTGGGCTGGCCTTCTGGGCCCCGCGCGTTTTGCAATCCGCGCGCGTGGCCACTGCCGGATGCCAGGCAGCCATGGCGGCGGACGGGGGGATCACGCCCTGCCGCCATGGAGCGCCATCCAGCGGCAGTTGAAAAAGCTGGCGGAAGTGTGCAAGCAGGCGAATCGGCCTGCTGGGGCGGGGCATCCTGGGCGCCGCCGCAGGCGCAGCGGCCGGGGGGCAGCATGGCGCCTCCTGCGGGCGGCCCCCCCGCTATAGCGAGCTCGCCGCCTTGCGGGCCGCTGCGCGGCGGGCGGTGTGCAGGGGCGGCCTCCGCGCAGCAGCGGAGGTCGCATTCGGCGCGCTGGCGCCGGGATGGCGGCTGGACGCCCTCGCCGTGGCTGTCCTCGCGCCGCTGTTGCAGACGGCGAACGCGCTCCGCCCCCAGCGCTTCGCGCTGCCTTGTGGCGCGCGGCGGCCGGAGCAATGGCTGCCCGGCACGGCCGCGGATCGGGCCCGATAGCTGCCGCGGCCCGCAGCATGGCGAAGCTCCAGCTCGGGGACGACGTCGTGGTCTGGAAGGGGGTGCCCGCCGCGCCAGCAGGCTGGCGCCCAGAGGAGCGCCCGCTGAAGTACACCCTCGCCGTCCTGCTCGAGGCTTGGGCGCTCCGTGAGCCTCCGTCGCGCGCGCGCAGGCTGGCGTTGACAGGTGGGCCACCCAGCGGCCGTTGGAGGAGGGGGGGCGCCCTGGCACCGGACGCCGCGCAACGTGGTCATGGAGTCGGTGGCTGCGAAGTGGGGGAGGCCAGAGCGGCGTCCTCACCGCGGAGCCGCGCGCGAAGACTGGCAACACCGCTTCTGGGACTGCCCGCGGTGGGCCGAGCCGAGGCGCAGGGCGCTCGTGGCCGAGGGCTTTTCGGGCGCTGCTTTGCGAGCCCGCCTGCCGCCCCGCGTCGCGCGCGCCGGCGCGCTTCCTGTCGACGCCGGCCTGGCCGCACTCGCCGCTGCCGCCAGCGCGGGCGCCCCCGCGCTTTCGCGCCCCCGCCGCCTCTCTCTCCGCGGAAGGCGCGGCGCGCTGCCGGGCCTGGACCGACTGCGCGCGTGGACCCCCATGCAGGACCCGCTCTTGGCCAGCGCAGGGCACGGCTTCCGCCTGGAGGATCCCGCTGGGGCGCAGACTGACCACAGCGGCTGGGTCGATGGGGCGCAGACTGCGCAACGCGCCGAGCTCTCCGCGGCGGCGCAGGCGCTCCGCGTCGCCCAGCAACCGCTCGAATCGCAGCTGATTCACTGTGCGTCCGGAACGGTGTCGCCGCGCTCCGGCAGGGCGCCTCCCTGCGCGCGGAAGTGGTCGCATTCTGATTTGTGGGAGATCATCGCGCCCTGCTCTCCGCTGCGGGCTCCTGGCGGCGCAGTGGATCAAGGGCCACTTAGACGAAGACGGCGCGGCCGCGCGCGGTGTTTCCGCAGAGGTCCGGCCGGGCAATGCCGCAGCGGACCGGCTGGCCAGGGCGGCGGCCCCAACGCGGCTGCCACTGCCGGACCTCCTGCAGACTCGCGGGGTCACGGACGCTGCAGGTGCTGCTCGCCGACGTGGACTTGGGGCAAATGGGCGGCGCTCGAGGCCAACCATGGCGGCGCGGGACAAGCGCCGCCGCGCGCGCGGCGCCGCTGGGCCGCGCCAGGGCCACAGCGGCGAGAGCCCCGCGCGGGCGGTGACGCGGTGGCGGCCGCGGCCACGCGCGCTCTGCCGCCACCCGCCCGCCCGAGCAGCGCCGCTGCGGCCCGGGCAATCTTCGCCGGTGGCACCTGGCGAGCGCGCGCCGCCCGCGCCTGCATGCGCTGCGGCTGCTGGACCCCTGCCTGGGAAGAGCTGGCCGGCCGCCCCTGCGCCGGGCGGGCGCCGGCGCTGCTGCCGCTGGCTGCGGGCCTGCTCCTGCTGCCAGCTGCGCGCGCGGGCGGTTCGGAGGCGGTGTGGCGGGCCGCCGTCCAGGCTTACAGGGAGGCCCAGCCAGGGCCGCCAGATTGATTGATTGCACGCGGCCGGGCGGCTTGCCGCGCGCCCGGGCCTTCCCTCCCCGCTCCCCCGCCCTCCCGCTCCTGTGCCACAGGGCTTCGCTGGAAGGTACAAGCAAGCGTTTTGTATTGTTCTTTTGACATGGGTTGGTGGGAGTGTGCGATCATGATGGTCGGCACTATTCCTGGTTGGCTGCCTGTCGCTTGGGGATGGGGTGATTATTGCCAGGGTCAGACTTCGGGATCACAAATGGTCAAGAAATCTCCGGGCCGGTCCTTTCGATCAGCTTCGGGGCACGGCAGGCGAGAGTTGTTTGCAAGGGAAGGGGATGAAGGAAAAGGAGGAGGACCAATGCAAACCCATGAGTCATCAACGATGTTGGAATAAACCTTGCCTCCGAGCTCCCTGTTCATAGGCCCGCACAAGGGTACAGATCCACTGAGGGAACTGCCTCGTTGGAAGACAACCGCTGGACGACCTTAAGGCATACCAAAACACAGTTCTCGGGGCTCCAACGCCACGGATCAACGTGATAATTGCGTCCTGACCGTCGCGAATCGCGCCATAACGCCGCTTGTGGGCCGTCAGCACTCCGAATCAACGTAACGGTTGCACCCTTTCAATCTGGAGTTCTTCCAAACGCTATTGCTGGTACGTTGCCCATCCATGGGGATCCGTGCAAGTGGTTCCCATGTTGTGATCGCATGTGCGCGGCGTTAGGGCGATCGCCACATTTTGGAAACGAGCCGCCTTCAATTCGTGAGTGCGTTGCATTTCTTATATTTACGTGTATATATATATACACAAACATCGCGCGGCGCCAAGGCGAGGACGCCATTTTGAAAACGAGCCGCCTTCAATCCGTGAAGCTCTTGCCTGTTTTTAAGACGAAGCTTTTCGGCGCTATGGCGAGAGCCACATCCCGTGAAACTCTTTGCCCAGTGTGGCAACGAATGTTGGCGGCGCAAATGCGAGAACCACATTTTGAAACCACCCGCCCTTCATTCGTGCTTTGGCTGCCAATTCTAAAGCTTGAGGGTCATTAGTGGTGAGGATGTTTCAGACGAAGCGCCCGGCCTGCCCTGTCGACCAGTTTCGGGGTGCGACAGAGAGGAATCATTTTAAGAAAGAAGAATGAAGGAGGAGCAGGAGGAGCAGACGGAGGCGGAGGCGGCGGCGGAGGCGGAGGGAGAGGAGAAACGGAAAACTGTGTTGGAGGGTGGGATGGGCGGGGGGGGGGCGATGTGAGGGAACAGCCCGAGGCGGAGGAACGGGAGGGACAGGTGGAGGAAGTGGAGGAGCCGAGGGGGGTGCGAGGTGGAAAAGTGGCACGCCGAAGGAGGGCCCCCCAACGAGCCGCCCCGCCAGCGCTCCGCGTCCCTAGCGCTGCGCGTTCTGCAGGCCACCAGGACCCCGCGCCCCCCGCGCCCCGAGGGGGGGGGGCACGCCCTCGGCGACGCCGGCGGCCACGGCCACGACGACCACGCCGTCGACGGCGATGACGCCGACGGCGACGACTACGACGACGACGCCGACGGCAACGGCGGCGACGGCGGCGGCCACACCGTCGACGACGTTGCTGACGGCTTCCGCGACGGCCCAGCCGGCTGCGGGGTGGGTGAGCCCTTGGAGGGAGGCCTGGTCCGGTGGCCTCTGGCCGCTGCCTGCCGCGGGGGGGGCCTCCGTGGCCGCGCGCCCGCCTCCGGCTCGGAGCGGCCTCGGCCCTCCGAGAGAGCGGGCGCGCGTCGGCCCCCGTTCTGGGATGCGCTGCGTGCGCTTTCCCGGGCGAGCCCCCGGGCGCGCCCGCCTCGGAAGTCCCCTCGCGACCGGGAGGCTCCGGGGAAGGGTCGGCCCCTGGGGGCCTCTTGCTGGGCCCCAGGGCGGTCCAGAGGCCATCGGGGACGAGCGGCCTTCCGTGGGGGAAGGGGGGCCGAGATGTCCGGGGATCCCACATGCGAAGCACATCGGGACGTCGCACGTTTGGGGACAGGGGAGGTCACGGCGGGCTCGCAGCGCCCGAAAGGAGCCTCTGCGCAGTGCGCTTGCGAAGCAGAGGCCACGGGCAGCCTGTGGACTGCAGGAGTCTCGGTCGGCCGCGAGCCCGGGGGGGGAAGTGAGAAGGAGAAGGCCTTCTCAGAAGGCTCGGGAGGCTTTGTAAGCCCCCCCCCTCGAAGACAAAGACAAAAACTTCTCAGGAGACGCGATGGCTTCCGAGAAGTCCCGCTGCCTTCTGAAAAAGGCCTTCTCTTTCTCGCTCCCCCCCTTTCGCTCGCCGCCGACCCTTCTTCTTCTCCTCCTCCTCCTTCTCCTCCTCCTCCTCCTCCTCCTCCCGCTCGCTCACTCGCTCGCTCGCTCACGGCTGTAGATTCTGGTTGTTGGTGCAACCAGTGGCCCCCTCCTGCGGGTGCCGTGTGGCACCGCAGGAGGGGACCATTCCGAAAGCGGGCCGTTCCGCCCGCTGGTGAGGCCGGCGATGTACGAAGGGGGAGAACCGGACGGGGGCCCGAAAGAAGAGGTCGAAAAGGGGGCCACGAAAGGCGGGCGAAACGAAGAGGGGAGGGCGAAGAGGTGGAGCTGCGGGTCGAAGCGCCCGCCCAGTCTTCCCCCCACCACCACCACCACCCCAAAACACTCCTAACACACCTCCATACTCAACCTCTCCGATCCCCCCCTGCCCCTCAAAGGTGGTAGCAGTCCAGGAGGATGCAGTTCGTGCGCATGAGGTAGTCGAGGCCGTAGGAGACAAGGATGTTCGTGCTGACGATGCGGAGGAGGAGGAGGTTCAGGCAGTGTTGGTTGATGAGGAGCAGTTGGAGCGTAGATCGGAGGTCGGGAAGACGTATCTTTTGGCCGTGACGACGTCGAGCGCGTGGGCACTGCGTGCGGTCGTCCAGTGTTTGGCGGGTGATCGCGAGGATGCGGATCGCCGCAGTTTAAGGGCGCAGGCTGTTGATGGCCTCGTTTTTGCTGTCGATGAGCTTGGACATGGGTTATCAGGAGGAAAAGAAACACACAGACACAATTAATTTTCGATTCCCCGGAAAATATGGACAAATATGGGAAGTGGGGGGGAAGACAGAAACCCGTAAAATATGGAAAAATATAGGGAATAGTTTTATTTGTGTGTATTTATTTGTGTGTCCTGGGGCCCCTTCAGGTTACTGGGCCAGGGTGATCTCCTTCTGGATGTCGAGGGCCTGGTCGTAGCTGACGTGCTGTTTTCTCACCGTAGTCGTGAGGATGTCGGATTTATCCTGGATGTCGTTGCGTCGGGACCGGTACTCGGTGATGATGTCTGATCTCAGGGATTGTTTGGTGTTCCGCATGGTATTGGTCTGAGTGATGGTGCCCCGTGCCCCTAGGTCGTTGTTGTTGTTGTTGCTGTTGCTGTTGTTGTTGTTGCTGTTGTTGTTGTTGTTGTTTTTGTTGTTGTTGTTGTTGTTGAAAATTACTTCTTCTTAAGAATAATTATTGTTGGGACCCCTGGTGCGCGACCCCCCCGCCGCGCCTAGGCCGCAGCCTCATTTTCATTATTTTCGTGAGGAAGTCTCAGGCAAAACGGGGGAGTCCGGATCCGGTTGTTTTGTTCCCCCCCGCTTTCCCTTGCAAAAAATAAGCTAAAGTGGACATTTCTTGTTCTAACATAACCAAACTTCAAGAATCCCTTGCAAAAAATAAGGTAAAGTGGACATTCGCGCGCGCAAGACGAAATCCTTCCAAAACCTTAGTTTTCGTAGCGATTTTAACATAAAAACATCAAAAAACCAATGGTTTTTCAAAAAAAATTGTCAAAATTTCATCCCGCGCGCTCTTGCGGATTCGTAGGAAACCCAACACTTTTTAAACATTTCTGTCAAACGGGCTTTTGCGAGCAACTTTTTCGAACTTCTGCAACAACGGTTGCGCACCTGCCAGGGCCATCATCCCTGTCAAATAATACCATGCGGGACACATTCGTTTTTTCTTCGCGCGCGCACGCCGTCGTCGTCGGCCGCGGGGCCCTGAATAGTAGCCACGGTCGTCCGCATGCCACGAAGTGAAGTGTCCGAACGTCATAGGGCGGGAAGCTGGGTGTGGGTGGTGGCGAAGAGTCGTTTGGAAATTTGGTAGAGCTTGAACCGGCCCCCCCACAAAGTGGGGGTATTGCCCGCCTCCTATGAAAACCCTGGCACTGGTGAGAACGGTGTGTCCCCACGTGCTAGTAATTGTTGTTGTTGTTGTTGTTGTTGTTGTTGTTGTTGTTGGACACGCTGACGATTGTGACCTCGTCGCCCTCGTTCACCGTGATTGTGCCGTGTTCGAGAGAGTCCTCCAGCGTAGTGTGGAAGGAGTGACGTATGGTGTATGGTTGCTTGCATCGGGAAGGTGATTGCGTCGGGTTTGACCTTCTCGTGTGTGATCGTGGTGACGGAGAACCGGCTATTGGGCTTCTGCGGTACAGCGACTATGGCATGTGGTTAGTTGGCGCTTGTTGTTGGTGTGCTGTCGCTGGAAGTCGGTGTGGAGCAGCTGGGTTCACTGGTGGTTGAGTGTCGCTCCTGTGAGTCGAGCTTGTGCTGTGGGGTCTTGGCCACGTAGTCGATCATGTGTGTAGGCTCTTATACTGCTTCTTATCGATAGGGTAGGTGGCGCTTTGAATCTCGCAGGCTTCGCTGCTGGGATCGAGCCGCGATGCTGGATTGGTTGGCGCTGCTGGTTGGGAGTCGGTACTGGTGATATGATTGATGGGGTTGCGCTGGTAGGTGCGCCTGCGCTGCTCGTAGGTGCTTCGTTGTTCTGTGCGTGCACGGTGGTTTCGTCCTCGATCGTTGTCGTTTCTTCGTGCTTGTGCATGGTGACTTTGTGTGTGTGTTCGGCTCTCGAGTCGGTGGTATCTCGATGTGTATCTCGCGGTCGAAAGTGCTGTGGTCGTCGTATGGTGCGAGTGTTGGTTTTGGGCTGCGCAGCTGCTTGATGTGGTGGATGATGTGGCTCGCGCGTGGAGGGTGTGGGCCTCCCTCTAGTATAGGTGCGACCACGAGCATGTTGTTGCCGAAGGTGATGGACGGCGTGGATTCTTGGTTGACATTGAGGTGGTAGAAGAAGGTGTCGCCTGCGATGTCGCTGCACCACATATGTGCTCGATCGACCCATTCGCGCGCTTCTTGTTCCTGCTGGTATTGGGCCCTCAGCTTGTCGAGTAGGTCGCGGATGGCCTGTGTCATTGCTTTGTCGACCTGCTCTCGTTTCGCAGGTACTCTGGCAGTGGGGGGTGATCGTTGGGAGGGGGGAGCATCGGTCTGAGGCCCTGGTAGAAGCAGCGGCCCTTGTTGATGCCCAAGGCCTCGACGTTCTAGTCGGTTAGCTGTCGAGTGCAGCATGGGTCGTAGTTGACGTCGCATTGGAGCTTCCATTGAGTCTGCATGTTGTGGTGGTAAGCGGGGCTCTTGTTTACCTCGGCGACGGCCTGTCATCCTGGTGCCAGCATTGCACAGCGGTTGGAGCCGGGCCGCAGGATGTCGCCTTGATTGTACCTTGGCGGAGCGACTGGTTCGCGGAAGTATTGGGCGGTCGGCGCCGCATAGCTAAAGGGATGGTTGGTTGGACTTGTTGTGTTGACCTTCTTTGCATGAGCTGCCGGTCGGTACTTGCTGGGATGGTTCGCGCTGGTCGTTGCGCGTGTTGTGGTCGGACTTTTGGGAAGGCTGCATTCCAGTCGGGGAAGTAGCTCTGGGCCCAGTTGCTGGGCTGAAAGCCAGCGTTGCGTAGCTTCTGGTGGTGCTGAAGCAAATTTCGAGAGCTATGGCTGTCCTCGTCCTCGTTGAGGTACTGTCTTGCTTTGTGGGCGTCTTGTTCAGATAGCTTGTCGATGTCGTTGACCTTGATCAGCATTATGCCGCCTAGCAGTATTTCAGTGGGTCGCTTGTATGCTGGTGGTTCGTAATCAGGTCTCTGTTTCATCTGTGGTAATGCATCCCCATCTGGGGCAATCTCGGCCTGGTGAACGATGATACCTCCGCGTGGGCGTTGGTGGTTCCGTCGGTTCTTGTTGTGCATGTATCCGAGGTCGTAGTGATCTCCTGTAGCACCCTAGCTGTGTATTCGATGAGGGCGTTGTCGATGATGGAGGGCCACTTGGGGAAGTCGCTGATTTGCGATCTCAGTTTTAGAATCGTCACGTGGTCGATCACCATCATGGGTAGTGATGGCGTTCGGTATGTGCCTGCCCCATGCTGATCGGAGTGCGATTTCTCGTTGGTGGCATAAGCATATTGGCACTCGCTGTCCTCTGAGGTCGGTTCCTTCGCAGTGCAGTCCGCCGATCGTCTGTGGAGTCATGCGATGGCGGTCGACGGGTAGGATGTAGTTGTCCGTGTATAGGTGCAGTGCCCCTCCTCCGCGGGTTTCCAAGATGTCTCTTGCGAGTGCGGCCAGTCTACCAATCTCTGAGGTTGGGTTCGGCCTGCCGTAGATGTCGGCGATTGCCACGACGTGCGCCTTCCGGGTGCATCTCTCTATGTTGCCGTGGATGGCTCTGCGCTCGATCTCTTCGAAGTTGTGGCGTCCGGAGTTTCACGAAGCGCTCTTCGTCCTTGATATTCCAAGGTGGTGCTTGTAGTAGTGGTGGTACAGTGGTTGCCAGCCTTTGGATGTTGTGCCACTCTAATGTGTGGACGGGCATCTTCTTGTGGCCCTGGTCGCTTGCTGCATCCTCCTGTGGGTTTGTGTTGTAGCAGTGCGGTAGTGAGGGCAATGATCAGGTCGATCCATCCAACGGTTTGCGTCGTTCCATAGCTCGTTGTTGGAGGGCACGATGAAGCTGTCCAGTACGGTGACGCAGCTCTCCTTGACCTTGTCCTTCCAGCACTCCCCAACTGCTGCGAGGTAGGCGATGGTGATGTGGTGTCGGGAGGCGGTGCGTACGAAGCCCCCCTTCACTGCCGCGGGGACGCAGATGCAGCCCAGGCCGAGGTGGACGTAGGTGTGGCTGTGCGACGAGGTCTCAGCCGTGTTGACTCCTTGGGATGGCATTACGATGCCAGTGCAAGGAGCAGCGCTTTGTGGTTTTGCTTGAGGGTCTCCAGGGGTGTACTTAGATGAGCGCCTTCTTTTTGTCGTAGCCTTTGCTTTCGGACATGAGAGTCGGCACTCCTTCTTGTTGGTACTCAGACGGGGCCTCGTTTCGCATCCTGCGTGGAGCCTGACCTCGGTGATGCCGATGAACTTGGGTTGTTTGCCAAACGCGTCTGCAGGTATCCAGATGTATTCTTCTTGATCTTGATGAGTCACTGTTAGCCTCTGA